ACGTTTATGTAGATATGATCTATGGTAACATGCAATTTCCTCGTATCTACATAAAACGTAACGTATGTGACACCTATGATCTATGGCAACATTCAATTTCCTATATAGAAAATTGAATGTTACCATAAATCATGTTTATATGAAACGTAACATGACACCAACATAAACCAACAACATTTACACATTCAATTTAAAAAAGTAAAAACTCATTAAGTTTGCGAAGCATAACGTGACACATTACGTTACGTTTATGTAGGTGTCACGTTACGTTAACACATTTACCCTCAATATTAGTTGTTAATATCATAAATAATAGTAAAACCATATATAGGAAATTACATGTTACCATAGATCATAGGTGTCACGTTACGTTTATATAGGTGTCACGTTACGTTACGCTTATATAGATATGATCTATGGTAACATTCAATTTCCTATATATGGTTTTACTATTATTTATGATATTAACAACTAATATTGAGGGTAAATGTGTGAATAAACTTCCCACAGGATTTATGGGAACTGTACGAGCACGAAATAATTCTTCTCGTATAATCCTGTTGATCAAGCTTGTGCTCCTCCTTACGTTGTCACTTTGCCACCTGAAAATATAAACGTGAGCTAACCGGTGAGTGTGTGCCGGAAACCCCTCCGATGCCTAAGTCAGCACAATAGACAATAGACACAAAAGCTCTGTGAATTCAGGAATCAAAGTTGTGTTACCTCTCCATAGGTGATGTTGTGAGCTTTTTTAGGTTCCGTGTGGCACAATCCTAGTAGGACTTTTATTCCTCCACGTAGAGTCCTCTTAGGGATCACACTCCTGAAAGATAATACTTATCCTTCAACACCTCCCCTCACTGCTTAAACCAAGTGAGATGGTTATACCTCGGTCTTATGACAAAACGACTGAGCTAAAATAGCCATGCTAGACTGGCAGAATTGACCAAGTTCTGACTAGCTCGGCTCTTCCTTTTACAACTTGTACCTCGGTTTCACTTCTTAAGACCGCGCTATGCACAGCGTGCTTGGACCGAGCTATTCAGTAGCAAGGTTCTGAGTAAAAGTCCAAAATACCCCAGTCTTTAGTGGTATAACCGAGCTAACTGCTATTACTCAGACCGTAGTAACTGAGCTAACTACAAAGCTCTTTCTGGACCGGACTAACTACAAAGCTCTTTTACTCAACCCTTTTTACTATAGCCCACAGAATGGCCCATCACCCAGCTCGGCTCAATTTACATATAAATTACCCTATCAGGAACATAAGTTTTTTAGTAGACCCATATGTAGTATAAGTCTCCCTAATAGGACTTGTAAATAATTTTTCCATAATTTTTTAATTTTTAAAAATTAAAAAAAAAATTCTATCCACTAGCTCTTGTTCAAGCAAAAATAAATAAATAAATAAAAACTAATATTCATTGATTTATGACTTTCAAATGGAAAGTATATCAAATCTAAAAAAAAAATGGAAAGTATACTAATCCATTTCAAAATTCAAATTTGAAGGTCACTAAATATGAAAAGTAATATACTAATTTAAATTTAAAATTGGCACAATATAAATTTAAAATTATAATGATATATCCAATATTTTATAAGTTTTAAATACAAATTTAAAATTATCATAATTAGCTCATAATTTTGTATTAAGGCGTAATAAAAGTGATATTGAGATTATTTATATATTTTACAAAGGAATGCATTTAAGAAGAAATATTATGAAAGTTTCAAAATCTCATACAAAATCTATATATTATTATAATTGCAAAACTTTGTCATCTTTTTCAAGCTGAAAGTTGTAATTCTTTTTTTATTTTATTTTTTTTGATTTTGTTTAATTTTTGTTAATATGAATATGATTGGTGTAAAAATTAATTTTATATTCTTAAAATAAAATTTTAAATTTAGATTCTTCCTTAAATTATGTTACTAGAATAATATCAATATTCATTCCATAATTTATGCATCTTTTAATAAATTATAAAATAAAATTTAAATTTAAATTCTTTTTAAAATTATATTACTATAATAAGAATGAAATCAATATTCACATGTGTCATAATGATGTGTTATAATATTATTGATCTAAACCTAATATATTATTAAGGGAATGGCTTCTGTCCAATCCTTAATTGGACTGGACCGTACTGTTGGGCTCGTTGAGGCTCACCACGGGTCCCGTTTTAATAATCTAAACCGCTCAATGTGTAGAACTCATCGAGTACTATAAAATAATTTTAAAAAAATCATGTTTAAATTATTTTATGCCATTATAAAATTTCATTTTTTTAATACCAACTTATTCAATGATCCCTTTCTAAAAGGTGTATTTGCTTTTATTAATATTAATTATTTAATTAATCTTATTTATTATTACAAATTAAATTAGCAAATAATTTTACATATTTATATATATAATTTTGTTTTGATTGCTCATGTTATTTGGTCTCTCTGGCCAAATCTATTCAAATTTATTCGAATTTTTAAATTTTACATAGATTCTCTTAAAAATTTATAGACTTAACTCAAGTTGTTTTGGGTTAACTCGCCTAAATTTACAATTCTAGCAAGGTAGTTCAAAGTTACATAATTAAAATTGTAATAAATTAAAAATTGATACATAAATTGTGATAAAATTATAAAATTTAAATTGTGGATTGCAATATATTTTTTAAAATTTTTATAATTTATGTACAAAAATCTAATTATTTATATTATTTTATATAAATATATTTTATTAATTTTTTCATATTCCGTGCGTAGCACGGTTTTCACTGTGACTCTCCTCTATAAAAGATTGATTCATCAAGAAGGGAAAAAAACAAAAAACAAATTAACTAACCTTTTAAAGTGACTCTCCTCTATAAAAGATTGATTCATCAAGAAGGGAAAAAAACAAAAAACAAATTAACTAACCTTTTAAAAAATGGAGAACAAGAGAGAGCTTGTGTTCATACCAACCCCAGCAATGGGCCACATTGTATCCATGCTAGACTTTGCCAAACGCCTACATGATCAACACCGACACTTTTCTATCACAATCCTCCTCATCAAACCATTATTCGATCCCTCTTACAATCTCTATGTTGAATCACTAGCCGCCTCCGACACCCAATTCCGCTACATCCACCTCCCTCCACCGCCACCGCCTTCCGAACACCAAGTCCTGACGTCTCTGGATAAATTTTTCTATGATTTTCTGGAAAGCTATAAATCACAGGTGAGAGACGCAATCGTCCATCATGTGTTGTCTTCTTCTCCGTCGACGGCGAGGCTGGCGGGGTTGGTGGTGGACTGCATATGCACCACCATGATCGACGTCGCCGACGAATTCGCCGCCCCTACTTACATCTTCTTCACATCCAGCGCCGCCTTTCTTGGACTCATGCTCCACCTCCCAATCCGCCATGCCTTAATCGGAACCGAGTTCACTATCTCCGATCCAGACTCGCTAACTCACTTCCCGAGTTACGCTAACCCGGTCCCTACCTCAGTCATACCCTCGGCTATATTCAACAAACAAGGAGGGTACTCCACCTCCCTGAACCACGCCAGGAGGTTCAGAAACACCAAGGGCATAATCGTAAATACATTCGAAGAGTTCGAATCCTGTGCGATGAAGTCCCTGTTAGTCTCGCCGGAATCGCCGCCGGTTTACGCCGTCGGACCGCTGCTTGACCTCAGTGGCGATGCCCGATCGGGGAGCGATCGAGACAAGATTCTGAAATGGCTCGACGAACAGCCTCCGTCGTCGGTGGTGTTCCTCTGCTTCGGAAGCCTAGGGTGCTTCGATCCGCCGCAACTGGAAGAGATCGCGGCGGCGTTAGAGAAGAGCGGCCACCGGTTCTTGTGGTCCATACGGCGGTCGCCACCAAAAGGCGAGTTTGGTTTGCCAACCGATTGTGGCGGCGATTACGACGGCTTGCTGCCGGAGGGGTTTCTGAAACGCACGAAAAACAGGGGAATGGTGTGCGGGTGGGCGCCGCAGACGGCGGTGCTGGGGCACGCGGCGGTGGGAGGGTTTGTGTCGCACTGCGGGTGGAACTCGATCTTGGAGAGCTTGTGGTTTGGTGTGCCGATGGTGACATGGCCGATGTACGCAGAGCAACAAATCAATGCGTTTGAGATGGTGGTGGAGTTGGATCTGGCAGTGGAGCTGAGATTGGATTACAAGTGTGAATTTGGTGGGATCGGCGACAAAGTAGAATTGGTGGCGGCGGAGGAGATAGAGAGAGCAGTGAGGCGTGTGATGGATGGTGAGAATTTGGTGAGGGAGAGAGTGAGAGAGATGAGAGACAAGAGCAGAAAGGCTGTCATGGAAGGTGGGTCTTCGTTTGATTCGTTAAGGCGGTTGGTTGAGGACATGTTGGGAAACCACTGATCATTATGGAAAAAAGTTATTGTTACGAATTTTTGGAGGAAAAAATTAATTTCTCCCTTAAATTCACTTTTTATTACTCTATTTGAATCATCAATTAGAATAATTATCCTTGATATGATATTCGGATCTCTTGATATGATATTTGGATAAGATCCGTTTGCTGATATAATATCATTTTTAATGAAATACATAACACTTGTTTGTTGATATAATATTTGAATGATCAATTTGAACAATTATTATTTTTAATGAAATATATAAAACTTGTTGATATGAAAGAAATAAATGTTGGAAATGGTGGAAAAATTCTGGGTAAAATCAGAATTTTTTTTCAAGTTTGGTCTATTTTTTAGGTGGGTCCCTAGTGTCGATTTACTCGGGTCAAAGTGGTAACGCGTTCTATGCCGTTGTGATTCACGTGGTATATTTGGTTGCTCAAAACCATTACCGAGTGAATGGGAAATTGAAGCCAAAGTGTGCTCCATGGAAATGGAGTTTTGGTGGAAATTCCTTAAGGTTGTAATATTGGCTTGTCCCACATTGATTTGGTAGGAAGTTTTGAAAGGGTTTATAAGGCTTAGGGTGAGATACTTGGGGTGTGCCCCAAGGGTACCCAAGTGTTTTAGAGGGAGAGGTTATGGGCAAAATGGGCTAGACCCATTGGACTCAAAAATCACCACACGCAAGCCGCCGTCTGGGCGGGCTGGGCTTGGGCGCGGGTGTGTGGTTGGGTTGGGCTTCTAATCTTTTTGGGCCAAAAACATTTGAATTTAATTTATTAAAATAAAATCCAGAATTCAAATTAAACTGGTTTGGATTTATTGTTCATCCAAACAGGGCCCTTCCCGTTTTCAAACAGAATTAAACTGTTTTGGATTTATTGGTTGTCATGGAAGGTGGGTCTTCTTTTGGTTAGTTAAGGATGTTGGTTGAGGACATGTTAGGAAATCACTTATTAGGGTTGGGTATAGGATTATCTGAACTGTATAACTTGTTTAACTTGAATTAATTCGCATATAAATAGGCAGTTTCGCAGACGCAATACGAGTGGATACGATTTGAAATATGACATTATTGCGGGTTGCGGGTTTTACCCGCATCAACAAGAATCTGCCCGCATTTATTTTTTTTATTTTTTATTTTTTATTTTTTTTTAAACCTGGATCATTGATTTCATTCATCCTGTCCTAGATATTTTTAAATTTTGAATAATTTTACTTTAATTGTATTGTTGGGTAGTGAATTATTTTGATAATTTAATTTAAGATTTTGAAAGATGTGCTTGTGTTAGTTTTATGATTTTATTTAAGGAAAATGTTTAGTAGCCTAAAATTTTGTGGCTCAAATGGTTCAAATCTGTTAAAACGACGTCGTTTTAAGTGATTTAAGCCATTTGAACCACAAAATTTTGAGCTACCTAGTATTGTTGTTTTAATACTTTAATTATTAATGTTGAACATTTTAGAAAATAGGGAAAAAATGACCCAAAGGCCCAAAAATAAATTTTTTTTTTTAAAAGTCCAATACGCAAACCGCCCACAACCGCCTGTACATTCGCAAACCTTATACACACAAATTACAGCCAGCACTATGGGTAGTTGCGAGCTCAATTTTTCCCAAACCGCACATATGTGAGTGGGTCCAAACCACAAATCAAACTGTTCAAAACCAAACCACGAGCACCCTTACCACTGATCATCATGGAAAAAAGTTTTTGACGAATTTTGGAGGGAAAAATTCGTTTGTCTTCCAAACTTACTTTTTATTTTGAATCATTAATATTAGTTTCAATAATTACACTTCCTAAAATATTGACATTAAATAATTTTACAAAAATGTTACTGTTCCAAAATAATCAACCAGTTTTTTTTTTTTTTTTTTGGAGCGATGTAATTGTGTGGTGAAAATTAAATTGATATATTATAAATCCAAATATAAAATGAATATGAGTCATAAATTGATATTTTTAAATAAAATTTACATTGTTAAAATTTTTAAATTTTTTAATGAAATATCATTTTTTGGATACACCATTGCTTAATTGAGAATAATAATTCATTTGGTCCATAATAAGGAGAGAGATATGGAGATAAACATCTCATGTCATACCATACCACAAAGCATTACTAATTATTTTGAAAATATTTCATAAAACATAAAATACAACTTATTGTAACAAATGATTGTCCCTGAAAACAATCAAACTAAACAAATTAAGTGCACAAATGTTTTTGTGTACTGACAAGTGATACTTCATTAAAAAGATTGATTTTATTGATGGTTCAGGGTAAATAGGTCCTGATAATTAAACATAATTCCCACAAAATCTTATTGAAATAAGTCATAATAAAATTATCATCAAAATTAATTTTTTGCGACATTTTTTGCATATGTCATTAAAAATTGACAATTAGTGACTTGTTTTTGTCATGGTTTTTATAAATTATCGCTAAAACTTACAATTAGTAACGCTTTTTTGTGACAAATTTTTCAAACTATCGCTAAAAGTTGAAAGTTAGTGACTTTTTGTGATGATTTTTTTAAATTGTCGTTAAAACTTATAATTAGTGACATTTTTGTAACAAAATTTTCAAGTTACTAAAAATTAACGATTAGTGACGTTTTTTAATAGGGTTTGATGAAAAAAGCTATTAATGCTTACAAAATCTATTGGACAATAAATTCACATATTATAATCTACACGTAAATCTCCTTCAAAAAAATTTTCAAATTAATACTTCCATAATTTAGTGAAATAAGGGCACGTTTGATTGGATGGATTATCATATGGGATTGAGATTATTAATCCGTAGGTCCAATTATCCTATATTTGTTTTAACATTTTGGTTTAGAATTATTAATCCAATGGATAATTAATCCAACAAATTTATAGGATTATTAGTAATGGGATAGGGGAGAGATTATTAATCCAATAGATAATTTATCCTATTAATCCAAGTGGATAGTGAATACCACACTAATTTGATAGGATTATTAATGCATCACTATTAGTCTTGTGAATTAAACAAAAGCTAAGTGCACTAGTTAAAGGAGCAAAGTGTTTTTTTTTAACAAACTTGAAATCTCATTCGAAAGATTATATCAATCTTTTATAGAGATTGTTAGCTAAGCAGAATGAAGCAGCAGCGTGGAGTAAAATTGGGAGAATGGAGACCAGTTTTCCAGAAGAGGCACTTTGGTGGCAGATCAAATTCAACGGGTGAAGTTCACAATGTTTTTGTCGACAATCTACCGAACTCAATGCATCCAAAAGGGTTATACGATTTGTTCACAAACTTTGGGGTAGTTATCGATGTCTACATACCCAACAAACAAAGGCACTCAACAGGAACCAGGTTCGGCTTTGTTCGGTATGACTGCCTGGTAACAACTGAAATGGCAATCCAAAAAGCACACGATTCCTGGTGTGATGACAGAGCTTTGAAGGTTAAGCGAGCTGATTTCAAAAAGAAGAATATAAGCAAAGTCAAACCACAAGCTGATGTTCATCATCTACCACTAGTGGAAACAAGTAAAAGGTGGATGAGAGTGGAAGAAATCAACATAAAAGGGAAGTCTTATGCAGAAGCTGTAATGGGGGGTAAAGTAACAAATGGGAAACCTATCTTAGTGAATGTTGTGGTGTATGGAAATGGCTGGTTGTATGATAGTGTGATAGTAAAACTCTGGTCTCACTATTACTGCTCTGATCTTAAAAAGGAACTGCATACCATAGGTATGTCTGATGTGCAAGTGAAGGATGGTGGTGGGAGAGATAAAAAATAGAGGCATGAAGAATCTTAAAGCTTGGATCCACAAATGGTGTGAAACGATGGTGGAATGGAGGAGGGGACTGAAACTTGAGCAAGAAAGATACATGGATTTGAACTGCTATGGTCTGCCTCCTCATCTTTGGAACACGGCTAACTTCATCAAGATTGGAAAAATCTGGGGTAAGGTCATGAATATTAATGATGGCACCCTCAAGTTGTCATCCATGGCATGTGGTCAACTCAGGATTTTTCCACCACATATGGAGATGATCAACAGTATAGGTGACCTGGAATGTAAAGGTCATGTTCACTTAATCAGAGTGAATGAAGAGCTTGGTTCTAAATTGGTCAATGTCCCAGGTCATAGCATTAAGGTGAGGGATACTTTTGTTCATGGCATTACCGACAGTGATCAAATTTCAAACTGTTACAGAAGGACGAGAGGAAGAGATGTTTGATGGGATGCAACAAGGGGATCGGGTGGCCTATGGCAAGGGTGTGCCGCAAGATGCAAATGGTAATGTCAGAATGGAGGAGAAGCCTGATGGAGCAGATAATAGCCTTTTTGCTGTCTCTGAAGTAAATGAGACCTGTAGCATTATGGGACCTAGAGTAGAAGAAGGTCAGTGCACGAGGCTCAAGGGAAGCATGCATAACACCTCAGTTGAGTGTAATGCTAGCAAAAGTCAAAATGATGAGGTCAATATGGACCAATGTGGACTATTGGCAACAATCACAAAGAAATGGCAGAGAGTAACTACAGAAAGTGGAGAAATTGAAGACGGCTAGGGCCCTGATGGGCTTATGAGAAGTTTAAGCGGAAATGAGCCTTCAAAACCCAGTATTAATTTAGAAGTAGTCTTTGATCAAGCCCAGTTTGTTGGCCTGCTGAATGAACAAGACAGGGACAAGTCTAAGTCAAATGGGCTAGGCCCTAGCTGTAGCAGATTTGCTGAGCATATGGATCCAACACATGTTCATGCCCAGGTGGAGAATGGCAAAGGCATTGCTGAAGACAGTGCTGAAGGAGTTAGTCAAAACAATCAAGATACTATACGTAGTAAGAGACTAGAAGGAAAGGAGAGTAAAGGAAAGGGTCGGAGAAATCAGAGGAAAATAGTGATGAAAAGGCAGTTTCAAAGGGAGGTCATCTTTAGAGCAGCTGCAGCTGCAATTTCTTCTTCACTATCTCAGACTAGTAGATTAAGCAAATATGATATGCTATTAAAGGAGGCTTAAGCTACAATTCGAGTTGGACAAAGTCTGGGCATTGATTTTGAAGGCAAAAATGATGAAGTTATAAGGAAAATAATTGAAATGGAGGAGAATAACATGGAACAGGCTGCTGATAAGAGTGATGGTGCAGGGGTTTGGATCAGCATCAAGGGCTACTCAAGGTTGTGAATGTGTATGCTCCTAATGATGTGAGTGCTAGGA